CATGTGCTGTACCAGTGTACCTGCACATGTGATGTGACAATAAAAGTGATTTGATTTGAGAGGTAGTAAGGAACTCTGGCCAGCTTTACCCCCTCTGTTTACCATTTGGTTTAACAGTTGTCATAATGAAACAAAAAGTCCAGGGCTGTGTGTGTCTGTGTGTGTGTGTCTGTGTGTGTATTTAAGTTAACAGAGTGAAGCAAACAGCTTGATGCCATTCTGGAAATGAGTGGGGAACAGATGAGTGAGGATTAGGTACAACTCCAGTATTCAGTCTGGGATAGTCCCTTCATGATCCTGTGCACATTCTATTTTTATCTCCCTGTTGTTGCTCTGTCTCATGTCACTGTGTGTGTGTGTCTGTGTGTGTGTGATAACCCCAGTAAGAAGTGAGTTCTGTTCCTGGGCTCCCACAGAGCAACTTTTTTGTCATTGTTTTTTGTCAAAGCTGCCCATTTCATTTCAAAGCTGTGACAGATTTTAGACTGTTTTGCAACACACACAAAAACACACATGCAAGGTGGAAACACTTTCAGTTTTGTTATGAGTAGGGGGGTGGGGCCACATTGCTGCTCAAATTCCCTTCTTTTAATTCTGTGATTTCCAAAAAGTCATGTGATTGCATGGTCTCATCGTCCCTCCTCTGAGGGTATAAATTGTGCAACCCTCCCTTCTCCCTTCTCTGCCTCCTCAGCATCACAGAGCTTCCTGATACAATACAGGTAAGATCACTTGAAATGCTGGAATCAGGGGATCAAGATGAAATTACAGAAAGAGAACATTTAACTAATTGAAAATGAAGATCCTGATTGTAATTATTCTCCTAATCATCAGATCGGTGTGAACAGAAAGATTTACCAAATGTAATTCTTTAGAAATAGATGGGATTAATATTTTTTTTGTTTTACTCCAGAGCAAGATTTTCCTGACACCTCACTGTGTGGATCTCTGTCATCAACATGGCAACGTAAGTACAATAAGTACAGTTAAGAGATACAGTTATCTTCATGTTTTAATATATCATCATGCGCATTATCATCAAAACTGATCGTAAAACTGTACAATTGAGGGAGCTTATCCTTACAGTATTGGTTTTTATCTTGGTAAATGTATTTGCATTTTAGCCTCACCTATGAGCTTGTGCCAAGGTGAGGTATCTGGTGTCCAGAATTCATAAAAATTGCTGTTCCTCCTGAAGTAATAGTCAGAATTTAGGTTTTCAGATAGCGATCACATACAGTTAGGGGTGGGTTTAAAAAAAACTGATTTCCTGATTAAAATCAAATTTAATTTGAATGTGATATCGAGTCATTACATTTTGAAATCGATTTTTAAATATAAATGTTGTTTTACCACCAAACAGCTAAAACAGCAAACAATTAAAAAGCGGGTAAATGGATTGGTCTAACTTTGCACACTTCCTGCACAACTCTTTCTCTCTCTTAGTGTACTTCTAGACCATTTTCCCATCTCAAATCTCTGTTTTCTGCA